GCGGTATGATAAATAATAATAATAATAATAATAATAATAGTGGTAATGATTGGCAAATGATAATGGCGGTAGTGGTGACAAAGGTACTTTATAAATGAGAGCGATATAAATAAATTTATGATAATAGTAGTTGCGATGATGATGACATGGTAAGTTGTTGTTACCTAAACAACAACAAAAACCACAATAATAATAATAATAATAATAATAATAATAATAATAATATGATGATGATGATGATGATGATGATGAAGAATAGATCTGTAAAAGTGAAAAATATTAAAACCCTGCATGCTGTCAGTTAATTTCCACTTAAAGATGACAATTAGCATTTAATGAATGAATGAATGAATAACTGAATTAATAATAATAATAATCAGGATGATGATGATGATGATGATGATGATGATGATGATGATGGATGATGATGATGATGATTGCATTCAATAAAAAAAAGTGTTTTGTGCACACACTAACACACAAACATACTAACACGCATTGAATTTTATATATCTGGATTATTCACTTATGGATATCATATATATATATATATATATATATATATATATATATATATATATATATATATATATGTATATATATATATATATATATATATATATATATATATATATATATGTATGTGTGAGTGTGTGTGTGTATATGTGTGTATATATACATGTATATATATATATATGTGTGTATGTGTGTGTGTATATATACATGTATATATATATATATGTTTGTGTGTGTGTCTATTTGAGAGTGTGGGCCGATAAAGCCACTAACGTGCAAGTGGTTAATGAAGATGAATGACAATTGAATAAATTGAAAGAAACTGGGAAAATGTTACCGAAGAGAACGGGTAAAAAATTTAAAAAAAGAAGGATTCCGGGAGGCAGAAGACGACAACGGATGTTGCATTTTAGATTGTAGTTTTAAAGAAAAAGCAAGAAGCTGTAAGAGAGTTCCATCGACCAGAAGTGCAAGAGATAAAATTATTAGAATATATATATATATATATATATATATATATATATATATATATATATATAAATTGGGGGTATAAATATATCTGTATAAACTAAAAGAAGAAGAAAGGGTTTTCCTCCTGTCTATCAATTATATATATATATATATATATATACGCACACATATATATATATATATATATATATATACACATACATATATATATATATATATATATATATGTGTATATATATATATATATATATATATATATATATATATATATATATATATATATATATATATATTCATATATATATATATATATATATATATATACATATATATATGTACATATATACACGACATACATATATATATATATATATGACAGCAAAATCTCAAAATCTTTTAAACTTTTTTTTGATTTGATTATGACAGACAAGGAAAATTGAATTAATTTTTTATTTAAGAATGCTGGAAAAACTAAATAAATAATCAATTAAATTTTCCTTGTCTCTAATGTTCAACGAATCTTATATATATATATATATATATATATATATATATATTTGTATGCATGTATATTTCAGAGCCAGCATCCCCCAATTTACTTTTGTGCCAGCCTAAGCAGAATTTTGTAAATATTATATAAGCATTACACATGTAACAAGCTACATAAACATTATAATGTCTGAATAAACCTGCCAACAAGATTCCTTGAGGAGTGGATCTGTCGTAGTCTTTCGAGTGTAAGACAGGTTAAATTAGATAAAATGTTACATGGATGGAAGAATATACCGGTGTAATGGTAAAGAACACACCTTTCGTTAAATAAAATACAACCAGATATTCGTCTAAATAATAATACAATGTCCTATAAATAAATTAAATATATCGACCTTTAGGCAAAAGCCTGCCTACATCACCACCCCCCATATATATATATATATATATATATATATATATGGTTACAGGTATGAGATTCATACAAACATATTTAAAAAATCATTTGGCATCTTTTACATACATATATATATATATATATATATATATATATATATATATATATATATATATATATATATATATAATGCAGTATTACATTAGAACATGCACATGTGCATGTTCTCATGTAACACTGCATAATAAATATTTACTGCTCTACTTTTATATTGAGCTCTGTTTTAAATTAATGCTTTGTTGAAATCTTACTCTTCGTTCCTTCACATTTGAATATATGTATATATATATATATATATATATATATATATATATATATATATATATATATATTTTATTTGCTACAATATTTAACCTTTATGTTATATTTCAAACTGAATTTTAATTGATTAGAGTGATTTTTTATTATTTTAATAATATTTAAATTGATTGGAATGATTTATTATTATTATTTTATTTTTTTTATTTTTTTATTATCAGCAGAAATGTTAAAATCCTTCATGTATACAAATTTGTCAACATAATTTTCTTTAGTAAAAAACTTTCAAAATAATAAAACACTTTTCTTAAACTTTATTTGAGGGGATTGACTGATTTAAAGTTTTAGTCTGTTTTGAATCAAATATTATAGTTTAAAATATATACGCATTTTTAACAAGCAAGTGGGTGTTTTTATGAGGTGGTGGCAACTTTCTTGTTAGACTCCTATTTGGGAATTTTTTCTAGGGGGACATAACTGTAACAATTACTTGTATATAACGAACCAATTTTTTTTAAAATTACCCAGTAATCTTAAAAAATAAGAAAATATTCTAATCTAAATTTAATGAATTTATTAATTTTAGAAGTACTAAAAATTTACCAAGTAATTTTAACTATATGATAAGAAAAACATAAAATAAATTCAAAATTCTCTTTAAAATATTTAGTTGTTGAATGTAGTAAATTTTCCATTTATTGGTTAATAAATACACTGTTAATTTAATAACCATATCACTTGACCGCTACAAAATAATACAAAAATTTAAAAGATTTATGTTTATGAGTTATTCTAATTAAAATTTTAAATAACTCACGGGGTTATTTTTATTTTTGCCACAATTCTCATCCTGTGAAACAAATGAGGTTGGAGGGTAAAAATATTAGTCTAATAATCTTTTATTGTTTTTTAAATTTTAAAAAATCGCTCTAAAAAATTTTAAAAAAATCTTCGTTGCAAAAAAGAATTTAAAAATCAAACAGAAACTTCAGAAGTACGTAGAAATATAGCCGCGATATTACATTTTTATAAAAAAAAAAACCCCGAAAAACTTTTTTAAAAATTTTTTGGTATTTTTTTAAAATAATCATTTTATTTTTTTTTTAAAAAAAATTTTTTTTGGTTTAGTTTTACAACCCCCCTTTTAATAAATAAATTTTATTTTCTAAAAAGGGAAACCAATAAAACCCCCTTTTTAAAAACATACTTTTTTCTTTTTACCCAATTTCTTAAAAATTTTTAAAAATAAATTTTTATTTTAAAATTTCCTAATTTTTTTTTTTCATTTTTTTAAAACATTTTAAATTTTTTAAAAAGTCTGAGTTAAAAATAATTAAAAGGGTACAACATCCTAAAAAAAAAAAAAGAAAAAAAAAGGAAAAAAAAAAGAAAAAAATTTTACGAACCCTTGGGGGTAAAGGGAGTAAAAATTTTTCGTTTGGGGTTTTTTAAAGGAAATTAAAAAAATTTTAATGGGGGAAAAAAAATTTAAAAATTTTTTTAACCCAATTTTTAAACTTCCCAATTTTGGGGGTTTTTTTTTTGGTTTAACAAAAAAATGAAATTTTAAAAAAAATTTTTTGGGTTAAACTGAACATAAAGATTTTTTAAAAATTTTCCCCATTAAAAAAAGGAACATTTAATTAATATAAATTTTGACTATGGGAAAAAAAATAAAAAAAAATTGTTTTTTACAAAAAAGGGGAAAATTTTTAAATAACTTTACACCCGTTTACAAGTCGGGAAAAGGGAAAAAAGGGGGAAAAAAAAGGAAAAGGATTTTGAAAAAAAATGAAACCCCCCCGAAAAGAGGAATGCAAAAAAGCAATTGGAAAAATTTCCCATGGGAAAAAAAAAGGAAAAAAATGTTACCAAAACGGGAAATAGACAGGGGGGAAAAAAAAATTTTCCCTTTAAATTTTGAAAAGGGAAAAACCGAAATGGGTGGGGGTTAAAAAAAATGCGGGGGGGTACGAAAAAAAAATAAGGGAAGAAAATTAAGATTTTAATTTAAAAAACCCAAAGGAAAAAAACCCCCCTTTTTTCCTAAAAAAGAGGGCCCAATCCAAAAATAGCTCCGGCGGGGAAAAAACCCGGGAAAAAAGTTTTTTGCCGGGGGGGGAAAAGTAAATGAAGAAGGGTGAACCCCCAAAAGGGAAAGTTAAATAGGGCGGCAGAAAAGGGCCCCCCAAAGAAAAAAGGGTCCCCCAAAAAAAAAAACCCCCAAATTAAAAAAAAATCCAAAGCAAGGGAAAAAAGTAAAACTAAAGAAAGAAAATTTTAATGTCAAAGAAACTTCGAAAAAAACCCCCAAAAACTTTTTTGGGAAATGGGTTTTTTTTCCAGGGTTTGAATTTTTTACCCCAAAAGGGGCCCAAAAAAAATTTTTTTTTTTGAACGGACAAGAAAAAGGGGCCCCCTTTTAGGGAAAGGGGGGCCGGGGTTTTTTTTTTTTTTTCCACCGTCGGATAACCTGGGGCCCCCCCGGGCCCCTCCCGTTGCGCAAAGGGGGGGGGAAACCGAAAGGCCCCCAGGCCCAGGAAAAAGCATCAAGGGGGGGGTTGGGGGATACGAAAAGGGGGGACGGCCCCTTGGCCCCAAAAGGGGCCGGGGGGCATTGATTCCCCAAAAGGATGAAGGGGGGTGGAAGTCACAAGGGTGTCCCCGAAAAAATTTGAAAGACTAAAAAAGGGGGTTTGGGGGTTTCCCCAAAAAGGGTACCCCTTTGCAAAAAAACCAAACCCCCCCCCAAAAAAAAAAAGTGGGGGGGCCCTTTTTTTTTTAATCAAAGGGGCAAAAGCGCTTTTCAAAGTGGAAAGAAAATGACAGGGGGGGAAGAAGAAAGGGGGGGTTTTTTGGGACCCCAAAAGGGTGGACCGGGGGTCCTTTTAAAGGCAGGGGAGTTGGGGCGGGGGAATTTCCCGAGGAAACCAACGAACCCCGCGAAATTAGGTGGAGCCCGGGAAAAGGATTCGTAAGGTGGGAAAACCCCCCCTTTTTTTTTAAAAAAGGGAAAGACCTCCAAAGAATTCCCAAAGGGTCGATGACCAGGAGGGAAAAATAAGTGGGATAAAAAAAGGGGGACGGGAAGTATCGCAAAAAACCGGGGGGCCCGGGAATGGGGGTTTACCAACCGGGGCCGGGGGGTTTGAGGCACGTTTCACAAAGGGAAAAAGGCCGTCAAAAGGGAAAAGGGGGCCCAGGGGGGGGGGGGAAAAGAAGGGGAAAGAAAAAAAAGCGAGGAAAAAGGGGGGGAAAAAAACCCCGGGGCCGGGAAAGGGAAAAAGGTGGATCCGAATGGGGAAGGAAAAAGGGGGGGGGGCCCAGGCCCTTAAAAAGGGCCAACAGCCTGCCGTGGGGGGCCCAAAGGGGGGAACCCCGCAAGGGGGGCCCCAAATTCGGAAAAGGAAAAGGGGGGGTGAAGAACCTGGGGGGGGTGGGGAAACCCCCTTTTAAAAAGAAGGGGAAAAAAAAAAGGGGCCCCCAAAAGGGGGGGGGCCCAAAAAAGGGGAAAAAAGCGCCGGGGGGAAAACCGGGGAGGGGTTGAGGAAAAAGCCAACCCAGAAAAGGGGGGAAAAAAGTTGGAAAATGGGGGCCCAAATGGGGGCTGGGGGGGGGGGGGGGGCCCAAAAAAAAACACAAAAAGGGGGGGCCCCCAAAAAAGGGGAAACCCCGGGGGGGGGGCGCCCCCTAAAAAAAAAAAAAGGTATTTACCACCCCAAAAAGGGGCCCCCAAAGGGGGGGGGCCCCAGGGGAAAGCCATTTCCCTTTTTCCCCAAGGGGGGGGAAGAACACCAAAAAAAGTTTTATTGCGACATAAAAAAGAAAAAAGGAAAAAAAAAAGAGAGAAGGAAAAAAGAAGGACGATGGAAAGCCAGAAAGGAAAGGGAAATTTAAAATTGTTTTATTCCTTTATGTAATTTTTATTTTTCAAGAAATTATGTACCATGGTCTAGTCATCAAGGTCAAAAGACAGAATGGAATAAAGAAAAATCTTAAATACGTAGATTTACTAACACGTGTATGGACTCAGCAAATAATCAAAATTTTTTTTTATATCAGAATAGATGCATATTTAGTTTTATGACAATATTTTACTAATTTTGTGAATAGGTCTATTTAAATACATAGGTGCACCTGAAGTCACTAACTATGTTCCAACCAGTTGTGGATGTTGCCAGTCGCAGAGCAGAAGGCAGGAAATGGCACCCTTGGAGGAAACAGACGTATGAAAAACTTCCCTTCGAGAAAGTGAGTATGGATGTATCAGGACCATATGGGGAAACTGCACAAGGAAACAACTATATAGTGAGTTTTGTCGATTGGCTTCCAGGGCGTAAATTGGCCTGAGGCATTTGCAGTACCAGACAAGAAGGCCAGAACTGTGGCCGGGTTGATAATAAATGAAATCTTCCCTAGGTATGGTGCCCCTGTGCAATTAGTAACAGATAATGGTACGGAGAATGTGAACAGCATCATGAGAGAGGTTTTGACAGGTTTGAATGTGAGCACATAAAAACATCCCCATATCACCCCAATTTAAATGCTAAAGTGTCAAGGTTTATAGAACCTTGGGAGATGTATTGGCCAAGTTGGTCAGAGAAAACACTGGAAATTGGGACTTGTATTTGACGCAGGCTCTGAGGGCAGTAAAATAGTTTACGATAAACGAAACCTCAAATTTTCTCCTTATTTTTGTTGTTTGGCAGAGCAAAGAATGCCTGTAGATAACCTTGAAGCCCCGAAGAAGGTATATGGGAAAGATCATCATCAACTATTGCTGAACAGCAACATAAGATATTCAGACAGGCCAGAAGAAAAATAAATCATCCCAGAAGAAAAGAAATGAGAGGGTTGATGCTGAAAGAAAGGTGGTAGAATTGAAGGTTGGAGACCCTGTCTACTATAAAATCCACCAGAGAGAAAAAACTGGACCAGAGATGGGAACCGTACTACCGGATAGTAGAGCAGACGGGCCCAGTATCATATGTAATATGGGATCAATGGCAGGACGAGCGAGGAATGTTCATGCCAATGATCTGAAGAAGGCTGAAAACTTTCTAACCTGGAAATGAGCGAGCCGAGGCCTAAAAGACAAAGGAAAAGGAAGGTAACTCTGGTTGAACCGGAAGGAATGGAGACGGAGGAAGACTCCGAAGAAGATGATGAGATAGGTCGATTGACCAGATAAACGAAGCAGTCCGAGTGACAGAGTTGGAACCCTCAGCGGGGATTAGCGATGTTCAGTCGTCGACTGAGTCAATCAGAGAAGAAACCGTGAGATCGCCATCACACCCCATGTCCGAAGAAAAGGAAGAAAAAGACGAAGAGGTCCAATCAGGCAGTCGAAGGCTCTAAAAAGAGACACCTGAACAGGACGAAGGACCCAGCGTTGTGGGAGGAGGAGGATCAAGAATACCCAATTCCCAGCTTAGGGAAAGGATAAAGAACAGGAGAAGTTTAGACATAGAGTCGAGAGGTATTGAAGACATTCAAGGCGAAGACTCTAAACAGAAAGAAGAATCAGGGGATGGAGAAGAGGACAAAAAAACCTCCTGACGAGAATTAAACACAGAAAATTGCAGTTAGAGGTTGAACAGGAATCACCTCAGAAGATGAGATCAGGGAGGAGAAGAACCCCAAATCTCAGTAGAACAAAAGGGCTATTGAATAGAAGCATTTAGTGTCAACAGATAACGACACTGGCTCATCCAAGATCCTATTGGCTGACTATGGTAGATGTGAGTGGAGGGGATGGAGATGCGGGCTGCACCTCAAAATGAGGAACGGAAGATCATTGGCATTATTGATTGTTACCAGTGGTGTCATGCTAAAGTAAGACCTTTAGAGTTACGCCACGCACACCTGACCGGACCATTCTGTCTGCTAGAGGTTAGTTAGGGAGGGAGAGCCGAACTAAGAAAAAAAAGTTATGAAATGATTGAGGATGAGTCGAGCGAGACTAAGTGATTGTGAAGAATAACAACAAGAGAATTTGTTACCTTTCAGGAATGATCAAGATGAAAGGGTTGGTGATGACGATGATGGTGATAGCCACGCTGGTGGTGACGATGGCGGAAGCCGGGAAACGCAGCCGAAACACCATTTTTTAAAAAAAATTCAGCCAAGTAATAATAACCAGGTCTAAGTGGTTGGTCACATTCGTAATAGATTTGAACCCGTATGAGTCGCTATTAGATAAGTTTAAAACGAGCTGACGCAGCTGGATGCAGCCCGATTGAAAGTAGGACAAGATTATCCCAAGCACAAAGGGTATCTTAATTTATTGCAATAGGTAAGAGAATCAGAAAGCCACTATGATAGAGGCTCAATGGAAAGACATGCAAAACTACCTGCAGGGAATAGATAGAACTGCAGACGCGGGAACGAAGATCCGTACTCCCGATCGTGGGAAAGGCATTGAGTAAGAAAAAACGGAACAGTAACTGAAGATGACGTTAAATTCATAAGAAGGAAACTGGGACAAGTAAAAGTAAACCAGAAAACGCTTGCCCAGGTGGCAAGAGAGAGTGACGATATTAAATGTGAGAAGGTTGGAAGTATCCAAAAATAGAGCCAGAATCAATTGGTTAATAGACAACCTGGCGAAATTGAGACAAGAGGTAATTAATAATACAAAACTGTAATGGTTGAATTACAGGAAATAAGCGGATTCAAGCAAAAATATTTCCAGCTAATGACGATTACGAATAAAGTACGACAAACTAGTCAGTCGTTGACGACCTTGCTGGAACACGTGAGAGCACAATTAGACATGCTGTCATTAGGACACCTCTCCCCAAGTATAGTAAATCCGGGTCACCTAAAGGAAGCACTACTTGGCATACAGACCGAATTGCCCTGCCATCTAAGGTTACCAGTGGACCCCACTAAAGAATTGTGGAAGTACTATAATGCCCTTGGATGTGTGACCTTGTTAGAAAATAGACGATTATTGGTAGTGATATCTGTCCCGTTACTAGATAGCGAGAGTATATTCGAGATATACCAGGTTATAAACTTACCCATCCCCTACCCCAGAAGAGATCAAGGTTTGGGAATGATAGCAAGGTACAAGGTGGAAGCAGACTACATAGCATTAAATTCAAAGGAGAACGAAATTCATGTTGCTATCAGCTGAAGAAGCTAGAAGGTGTAGAGATGATACCCTGGGGACTTGTACCTCGTTGGGCCCTATCTATAAAACTGGTAACCGCAAACTGTGCGTACTAGAATTGTTTGAAGGAGGAGGAAGGAATCAAAAGAATCTGCCAAGTAGAGGTATTAACAAACTCGGCATTACCACAAGCTATCAGTGTTTCAGACGGGTGTGGGCAGTTTTGCCACACAGAAACATATCAGCCTGTCTAGGGTATGTGGGGAGAGTCCACAAGGACATTAAAGAATAAAAGCCACCGTTATCCCTGGTGTCGCTACCCATGGGATGTTCGGCGGTTGGGGTGTCCATCTCCTTGCCCCCTATTACCAGATGGAAGAAAGGTATGAAGAAAAAGATTCACTCATAGAGATGATTGGTAGAGGCTTAGTCAATTGTACAGAATTATGGGAGCCGATAGTAAAGAGATTTCTAATGTCACCTTGAATAAGATGCCAGTATTAATGAAGCCAATGAAAAAAGATCGATATGGATCAAAGAAAGGGATAAGTTAAGTGCGTTGGGGAGACGAAGGTGTAGCTTTTAAAAGAAATGAGCAGATCGCGATAAGTTGGTCAATAATAATGGGTACATTCCTAGTTGTAGCCATCGGGGGTGTAATAATATGGAAGATTAAAAAATAAGAAAGATTAGCGAACGACAGTCTAGTGAGCATGCAACAACTCGAGAGGGAGATGCCGAACAGTGTTCCTTAAGACAGGACTGGCGAAGAAAAACAAAAAGACCAATGGAGGAGGCTGGCGTGAGACCACCACGTGCGGCGGGAAAACCTCCCAAAGCAGAGAGGAAAACATTGACCAAGAAGAACAAACCCTAGTGAACACATCTGCACCTAAAACACACGCACACATTACCTTGCATGTAGAACAGAAGAAAATGAAAAAACGAACATTTCATTGCATGTAGAACAGAAGAAAAAATGAAAGAACATTACATTGCATGTAGAACAAAAAGAAAATGAAAAATAACATTTCATTGCATGTAGAACAGAAGAAAATGAAAAATAACATTTCAAACCATGTAGAACAGAAGAAAATGAAAAGAACATTACATTGCCTGTAGAACAAAAGAAAATGAAAAGAACATTTCATTGCATGTAGAACAAAAGAAAATGAAAAGAACATTTCATTGCATGTAGAACAAAAGAAAAATGGAAAAAAGAACATTACCCTTGCATGTTAGAAAACGTAGAATAGAATTGCATGAGACAAAATGCATGGTGCATGTTAAATGATGTAATTATTTTAGGTGTCATTTACGGGTAAAATGACAAATCGAAAGCGCTTACTAAGGGAGGATTGTGGCACCTTGCATTATTAGAAATATTCCTAGAAATATGATTTAATTTTTTTCTTACTCAGTTTATTAAACAGGTTGTTAATTTTTTTTTTAAACGGAAAATAACTGAGTTGAAAATAATTCACTAAGAGTGTACTAGACGATCCTAAGGAAAGAAGAAGGAAAGAAAAGGAAAAAGGAAGGAAGGGAAGAAAAAAAGAAAGAGAAATGTATGACGCATGACCCAATTGAGGGTGGAGATAGGAGTCAGAAAGAGATTTAGGTCAGCGTCTTGGCCGATTTTTTGA